CTCTGCTTCTTTCACTGCAGAGAAATCCCATCTACACCAATCACTTCCAGTCTCTACAAAAAGAAAAGTCATAAGTCAGATCCAGAACAGAAAAAGAAGAAGAAATATGTATTTTTTTTCTTTGCCACAGCAGAGTTGAGGATTCCCAAGCATCCAGACTCATTATATTTTTGTTTGTTTTATTTCCAGGTCCTATGGGGGTCCATGGCCCACAGGGTCCACCTGGTGCTTTAGGACAACAAGGAGACCAAGGTTTTCCAGGAAGACCTGGTCCCAGAGGTCCCACAGGTACTTATGAACCTGTTGCTTAGTGTCATTCAACTGTAACTGTGATCCTTCAATTCATATATAATCATACTAATGTTAACTTGCATGCAAATAATTTAAACAATCTCAGAAAAAAAGACCCCTGCCGTTGCCAACTTAAATGATTTCTCATTTGATTAAAAATTTCTGAACTATTTGTTTCTAATGTCACCTCACGTGAGTGATTTCTCATTCCATTCTTTACTCTAATTTACATGCCTGAAACTTGCTTCCACCTGCACCTCAATGGCCACAATCTGCTTTCCATTTTTCAAATCCTTCAGGTTTCATAGGTAAGTTCATGACTTTTGATTATTGTTCTTTTCATGGGAGCTCCCTCCCTTATATATAGAAACATTCAGCTCTTATTAGAAGGTATCCTTGGTGTGGTTTCTAGGAATAGTAGGTACTGCTGGCAGAATATAGCTCTAATTCATATTTCACATAAACAGCACCAACGTCATGAGAATGCTCTGCTGAGAACTCTCATGCTAGGATGTCAATTAGACTTGTCAAACATTGGTTTCTAGTTCTAATTTGGGTTTTTCTTTTGGTTTTCACACAAAATGCTTTCTAACCAAAATCGTAGCAAAAGCTTGAATCCTAACTCTGGATTACTACAAACACTGAACTTTCCATCTGACTAAATGTTGATCCAAAATGCAAACAGGCAAAAGCTGCCAGTAACTTTCAATATATAAAATGTGACTATTCTTTTTTATTATTCTGTATTATAACCACTTCAAATGGCTGTTATGTGCTAGCCTTTTTGGCCTGCCTATTGATGGTTTTGCAAAAACAAAATAGGCAAAATACTGCAAAATTTTCCATGTGCTAAGGTGTTTGCACTGAAGCTGGTTAGGTAGACTTTAGGCTTTAACTCAGATGAGTTTGGGGCACATTAAGAATCTTTATACCAAATATGTGAAATGTAGAACCATTGAATCGTTTAAGTTGGAAAAAGCCTTCAACATATCAAATCCCACCATTAACCCAGCACTGCCAAGGCCACCCCTACACCATGTCCCCAAGTACCACATCTACACATCTTTTCAATTGCCTCCAGGGTTGGTGACCCCACCACTTCCCTGAGCAGCCTGTTCCAGGGCTTGACAGCCCTTCCCATGAAGACATATTTCCTAATACCCAATATAAGTCTCCCTTGATCAAACTTAAGGCCATTTCCTCCTATTACTTGGGAGAAGAGACTCTCTACAAGCTCCTTTCAAGTAACTGTGATAGAGCAGTAAGGTCTCTCCTGACCCTCCTCCAGACTAAACACCCCCAGTTCCCTCAGCTGCTCCTCACCAGATTTGTGCTCCAGACCCTTCCCAGCTCCACTGCCTCTCTCTGAACACACTCCAACACCTCAGTATTTTTCTTGTAGTGAGACCCAAAACCTGAATACAGATTCAAGGTGCAGCCTCACCAGCGCTGAGCACAGGGGAACAGTCACTGCCCAGTCCTGCTGGCCACAGGGCAGAATGCCACTGACTTTCTTGCCCACCTGGGCAAAGATCACAGACCAGCTAACATACCCTTGCTAACACTGGCTTGCCACACTGTTAATATTGTGCTAAAAGACTAAGAGCAAAATTAAAACAGCAGGACTCAGTTATTCAATATTTTAAAACACTTAAAGCATACTCTTGAAAAACCAAATCAGCTAACATTTATGTTGACTTTTTGCACAGGAACTATTAGCCAGTCTCGCAATTCACTTTCCCATTACACATTCCAGGTGACCCTGGTGAGCCAGGGAAAGTGGATGATTCATGCCCTACCATCCCAGGGCCTCCTGGGGAAGCAGGGCAAAGAGGAGAGGATGGCTCTGCAGGATTACCAGGGCCAATAGGCCACCCTGGACCCCAAGGTAAGCTCATGTTTTGAAAGCTTGGATGTTCTTCTCAGCCATTTAGACAACAAGTTGAAAAGGGTCAGAATGTTAGTTACTTCTCTGTGTTTTACCCTCTCTCTTCTCCTTAAACATTTACTAACAGTCTCCAGAAGTACATAATGGGCTGTTTAATGCTGAGGATGATGGATAAATGCAGCTGAACCAGGCTGTTTGAGCCTGCCTGAACTACATTCCCATTTCCTAGGCCAGGCAGGGCAAAAGCATAAGACACTGTTGAGAAAAAAGTTCTTTAAGTAGTATTTTTCCTTTTTCGCCACCAAGTTATAAAGCAATGCCTCAAACCAGCCCTCTGGCTTAGACCTATTTGGAGGATGCTTAAAATGTACTTTTGCTTTAAAATCTAGCAAAAGTGAATCCCAAAGCTCTGCCAACCAAAGTCCTAAGAGGACACTGAAGTCAGAGAAGTGGCTACAATAGAGGTCTTTATCTGTTAGAACATGAAAAAGTTACCACCAAAGGAAACTGACCAAAGAGATCTTAAAAGGAAGTGATGAAAGACTGAAAAGTTCTTCTGATAGATGAAAAGAAAACAAGGGTGATGCTGGTACTGGTGATCCCAAAAGAGAGGCCATCTTCACAGAAACACAGCATAGGCTGTACTGCAGTGTCTTCAGTTTAATGGTGGAATCCCTTGTGTGGTTTTTGGTATTTCCTACTGGGGAAACCAAAGTTTGTTGTGTTGGCTGCTCTGGGTACAGAGAAAAACCCCCGTGATTGTCTCCCAGGAGATTCCCTGCAGCATGAAGGAAACAATGCAGTTTTCAGTTGATTCTCTAGTTTTAGCCATCTTAGTTGATTTGCCAGCTAAAAGGAGTTTCTGGGGTTACACAGCTGTGTTTCCATTATATACATCATTAAGGGTTTTTTAAAACCAGGTGATACAGTGATACACATATTTACATTGGTTTTATGAAAGGAATAAAGAAATAGTAATGCTTTTTCCTTCATTAAGATGGGAGAATCCAATTTTTTCCTGGCTTGGAAGGCAAACTAAGTTTTACTGGCAAAAGCAATGGATTTTATTAAAATCCCTCAATGGGCTTAAGCTTTGGAAGAATAACTCAGTAACCAACATAGAAAAGCTGTTAATTTTTTTTTATTGGTTCAGACTTTCTTAGTAAAAAATAAGGGGAAGTTTGAATGCTGTGAGACAACCTTGAATTACTCAGTCTGCAGGTTAAATAACAAAGTCTGCAAGGAATAAAACGCCATTACTGAGAAACAACTGTGGTGGGTGCTAGAGAAACACCCTCATCTGAAAACTGTTTTTTATCAAAAGGGGAAAACCACTTCTAAGTGCAACAATACCTGATAAGTGTTGCTTTGTTCAATTCAGATTGTTTTGGGTAGCCAGTGAACAGGCCCATCATTATCTGCACACTACACGAGATGCATCATTTACTGTCACACCACACCTTCCCCCCAGTGTATAAAGTGCATGGACATGTGAGAAATACAAAAAAGAGAGGCCATCAGGAGCCTAAAAATGTCCAGTTCTGCAGTCCCTCTCTGTTCTCTAAGTACTCCAATACATCCATTACTTCAAAGGGAGTTCACTATGTGTTCTAAGACTTTGCTGAATGGGGTTCTCCAAGCTGACAGCTTGGCTTGCCTCAGGAGGAGTTACAGCTCATTCCATGGTGCAGATCCTCATGGCAGGTCTGCACGAGGCTTGCACGATAATGTTTGCTGGGGAGTGCTTTGATTTCTACTGTAAATCACACAAGATCTCTGGAGAGGATGGAAAACCTCATCAGGAGCTGCTGTTCCTAAGTCATACCTCTGAGTTACTGCTGTGGTCACAGGGTGAATAAGTGGTGAAGAGAATGCCCAGCAGAAGCAGTTCTGCACCTCCCTGTCCTGGTGTCCATTTTGCTGACTGGCCCTTTGTGTTTGGACAAGCAGAACCTTAAATTCAGCCCTATGAAGGAAAAGCACACACTTTGTGTTTATCTAGGCATAAAAGGTGAAGAAGGATCATATGGCCTGCCAGGTCAAGATGGGTTACCTGGGGCACCTGGACCACCAGGTGACCAAGGGAGCCGAGGAGAGCAAGGATATGCTGGGCCACAAGGTAAGAATGAGCATGACTTCGGTGTGGGGGGAGATGGGTGAGATGATGCACGGACTTAGTTTCCTCTCTGCTCCCCCAGTTCCCACACGCATACATCCATCTCTAGCCTGAGATTCCATGACACCTCTTGCCCCTTCTCAGTTCAAGCATTGACAGTGACATTTGTGAATGATTTCATAACAAGACCCATTGGAAGAAAATTTATCTCAGCATCCATTGCTAAGCAGAAAGGCAATTAAGCATCCATGCTCACACAGAATATATCAATAGGCCTGCACCTCCGAGCCAGAGCTAATGGGGCAACTGTCTGGCAGTAATTAAAGCTGTATTTTACCTGTGACTGCTCTCTAATAAATTAAGGGTTTATTACATACGTGAGCAAGGGGCATTGACTGTTACTGCAAAGATTCAAATTCAGTCCAAACCTTCTGTTCATCCTAGTGAGTAAGTCTGGGAAATCATTGCCCACTTCATTTCCTAATCTATACAGCACAAGACAGAGGCACAATAGAAAAGCCAAGTGCCAAGCATTCAGTGGCAATCTAGTTAATTTCTCTCCCAGAAAAAGGATTACAGAAGTCTGCTTGTATCTTTATTGCCCATGACAGCCTTGAAGCTGTATTATATTCAGTTGGGAACTTATTGAACATTTACACACCGCAGGTGTGAACTTTGTATTTTATACAAGTAAATTTCTTTTACCTTTCTCCAAGGTCCACCTGGCCCGACTGGTGTCCCAGGACAACCAGGCCCCCAGATTAGATCTGCAAGTGGATTCTTGCTTGTCCTTCACAGTCAGTCAGACAGAGAACCACTCTGCCCACAGGGGATGCCAAAGTTATGGACTGGCTATAGTCTGCTGTACCTGGAGGGACAAGAGAAAGCCCATAATCAAGATCTTGGTATGTATTGTACATAATTGCTCTCCAGCTAAGGAATAACACAGTGTTATCTACACAAGGAAAGACAAGTCACATGGAGCAAGCTATAAAACTTTCAGCTACTTATTTTCTACACTAATTTATACTGATTATAATGAATTTGGTTATCTTGCCCTATTGTCACCCATTTAAAATGGCTTTCTGCTGCTCTGCAATTGAATGCAAAAGTGTTTCTAAGTAATTTTGACTTGAAGTTGGAGAGGTGAGGGGTTTATTTCACTTATCCGAGCTCATTTTAGGCTGTCTTTGAAGTCACTGGAGAGATTTTCCTAGGTCAGAAATCTTATTTGGCCACTCTGAAATAACTCCCTGGAGGATCTGCTCCTTTTTTACTGTAAACACAGCTTGGGAAAGAGCTGGTTAAGTTGGGTAAATACAGTTGGGCAGTATAAGTAAGCTTTACAAGTAAATTATGCATCATGTGCAGAGCAGAATCCTTTGCTTTTCAGAGTCAGAAGCTAATATTTTTTGGAAAAGCCAAAGCCAAATTCCTTCCAGAGACAGCTGCTTTTGGTGCCTTGGGTCACTTCTTCCCTGTCTTATACAATTCTGACTAAAATTAGATGTATAAATAAGCTGTCTGACTTGCAGCCTGAGGAACTGATTGGTGGCAATTTGCACAGAAAAAGTTTCCTAAATTCTTGTTGACTTGTTATACAAGAGTCAGAGAAGTCTCTGAGGAGGAAAGATCAAGGACCTAATAAGCTGAACAAAAAAGAAGTGTTTAAAAGAGCAATAAAAGGAGCTATTTTTAGAATAGCAGTGATGTTTTAGAATGTTTTCACTATTGTGTGTTTGGCATTTCCCAGGAGAGCCACTTGCTAACAGAATGCCTCATAACAGCAGTGAAAATAAGATTCAAAGAAAAATTTGATTTTGCAGGCATTTTTCCTACTCAGGCTGCTCCAGATCCTTCATTAGTACTGGAATGTAATATTATCAGTGATAAACAAAACTGGCTTCTGTACAGAAATGTCACATGTCTTTAATGAAAGTGTTTGGGTTTGGAGACATTACAGAAATAACACTTCACACACCAAGTTCAAGGCAGAACTTAGTGCAGTGTTTATTGCTAACTGAATAGGCCACCATGAAACTGTTCTAATTTCAGTTCTGGAAGAAGTTCACCACAGAAGAATGCACTGGTCACTTATTGGTTCCCACTGATGTCTGCCTGATGGGAATTTTACAGGATTGGCTCTGCAAGTCCGTCAATCCTTTTATTTCACTTTGGGAGTCTGTGAAGCCTTTCTGGAAGGCAGTAGGATAGCTGCTGGGATTTCAGCTTAATGGACTGCTAGCAGTGGCTTGTCATACTTCACAAAAACGTTTCTATTTATCAGCATTGTCACTTGGTTTCTCACTGCTCCTAATGAGTTTGTGAATAGCTGATCTCCTTTTAAACCAGCCACCACCTCTTGCCTAATTTATTTTTCAGTGTTGGCACAGCTAGGAAATTTGTTATCATAACTGTTTCTCATGGTGACAAACTACAACATCATGTTTAAATATCAGATTGACACAATTAAATATTACTGGTCAAAGGAAGATACATACTGGTAATAGGTCTCTGTTTTTCATGTAGACATCTTGGTAAAGGGCTTGGGAGGTTTAACATCTGTGAATTACCTAAATCCTGCTAAAATACATATTTTTGTAGCAATATTGGCCAGATTACAATTTTCAACTGACCTAGGAAGTGAAATAATTGGCATCCCTCACTGTTATTTCCAGGTCTGGCAGGGTCCTGCCTGCCTGTGTTTAGCACCATGCCCTTTGCCTACTGCAACATCAACCAGGTGTGTTACTATGCCAGCCGCAATGACAAGTCCTACTGGCTGGCCAGCGCGGCCCCGCTGCCCACGGCGCCGCTGTCCGAGGAGGAGATCCAGCCCTACATCAGCAGGTGTGCTGTGTGCGAGGCCCCTGCGCAGGCCGTGGCGCTGCACAGCCAGGACCAGGCCATTCCCCCCTGCCCACCCAACTGGAGGAGCCTTTGGATAGGGTACTCGTTTCTGATGGTAAGAAAGTGGGTGCATCAGCATACAGATATGGTTCTTTCAGCCAGTTTTGTATTCTACAGGTTTGAAGATTTTTACCTCCAAAAAGTAAATTATTCAGTGTCTAGCAAACATTAAAGAGGAAAATTCACAAGAAACAGGACAAAGGTCCATTCCAAATTGCAGAACCTGGCTGTAGCTACATATACTGTACTTAAAGACTTAAGATACACATTTCTTAAAATAACAAAGGTTTTGCCTCCTTGTCTATAATAAACAGTGGGATTTTCATGTACACAGACACAATTTTCAGAATTAGAGCTCCAGTCTTTTTAATGCCATCCACAATTTACATTTGCAACAGTTTGGATAATGGCATCATTCTGAATCAACCCAGACTACTCCTTCCTTCAGTTTGATAAATACCTGAAAGTTAAGTGAGCTGGCTCTAGACTTTGAGATTAATTTATTACAGACCAAATTAAAATTTCCTGCAGCAAGAGAATCTTACTCCCATATAAGATTACAAAAAACCAGCACAGTTAAAAGCAAGTAGGGAAAAAGACAGATGAATGTCATTTACCTATTTTTCATGCTCAGTTACCAAGTTGTCTCTTTGTTCTTTCCAGCACACTGGATCTGGTGACCAGGGTGGTGGACAGTCCCTTATGTCACCGGGAAGCTGCCTGGAAGACTTCAGATCAGCACCATTCATCGAGTGCCAGGGCCAGCGGGGAACGTGTCAGTTCTTCGCTAATGAATACAGCTTCTGGCTCACCACCGTGATGCCTGAGCTGCAGTTTGCATCAGCCCCCCTGTCAGGGACTCTTAAAGAAGGACAAGAGCAGAGGAAAAAAATCAGTAGATGCCAGGTATGCCTGAAGCATGGCTAAGAAGCAAAGCAAAAGCAGGCAGCTACAGAGAGAGGCTTAGGGGAGGATGAGCAACGTGCAAAGGTTTAAACAGCAGCTCGTGTTTCAATCTGTGTCAAAGTGTGCAGCACTGTTCTTTGTTGGAATGGAACTATAAGACACAGATGAGGGATGTGCTGAGCCTCATCCACCCATGTACACACATCCACAGGCAGTAAAACCTCGTGTGAAATTATTAAGAAAAGACAAAACTCTGTCCCACTGGAGTCCACTGCTGTAAAGCACAGGGAACAAGGTGAGCTTGGAGGCTTTAGTCAAGCTGGGAAGACCAAGGACACCATACCTGTTGTGCAAGAGAATGGATTTCCTGTCAGAAATGGCATTTACAGCAGGAAGAATATGTGCATTTACATGACATATTATAAATATTTATTCATACTGATAGAAATGTGCAAACATATAAATGTCAAAGCCCTGTAGCTGAATTTCCCAAGCTAAAGAAACTTTGCACTTGCTTTTTCTGAGGGAAGGGAAAAATGTAATTGTTAAAAAATAATCTAATAATAAAAACAATGAAGATCAAAGTCTTTTCCCACTGCAGTACTGAACCAGACTGAAAGAACTGTTAATTGGGCTTTCATAAGCAACAAAAAGCTGCAAATCCATTTAACAGGAGATTATGTAAGAAAATAAAATTAGCTGTGATAACAAATCCTTAAAAACCTGTATTTATATTTACAATTAATTTCTAAGAGCAGTTACATTAAATTACTAAACTCTAATCCAAGTTTCCGAAGAAACAAAGCAATTTCTAATATTAATTGAAAAGAAACAGTGACATGGGGATAAAATGGGTGAACTTATCTGAGTGATGAATATAAGAAGTGTTAGGACAATAAACAGCATTAATTCTTTGCTTCTTTGTTTGTAAATACACTAGGAAAAAAAGAACCATCACCATTAAGATCCTTATGGAGTGACAGCTCTGAAGATCCTTTTTATTTTTTAAAGCATTGATTGTAAAAATGTTCATATCCTAAAGCACTAATCACCTTTTGAAAAAATGAAAACACATTTGTACCTCCTTCATTCATCTGTAAAACCAGAACTATTCAATGGTTCTATATCATGGGGAAACATCTGAAAACACAGATTACAAGTGGAGAATCCATCATGTGCAGAAGGGCCACAAATGCCCCTTTTACCACTTAAATAAGCTACATTTTAATAGAATGGAATCAAATGCTTTTTCCACCACTTTTCATTTCAATTTGTGTTCACTGAGGTGCCCCCAGCAAAAGGATTTTCAAGGAAACTGAATCCTCATCCAAGGGTCCTAATTCAAAGTAAACTCCCTCTGAAGCCATCACGAGTACAACAGGCTGATCAGCCAATTTAAAAGCTGGATACACAAACTCAAAGAGCAGGAAAGACAGACATTCCAAACTCAGCCAGAGGAAAATAAAACAGCCAGAGGATAAGTCCAGTCGAGTGTAAATACATCTGACTGTGCAACTTCCTCCTGGCACAACCAACCAAATGTGCTCTCCAGTGTGCTGTGCTTACATGGTGGTCAACTGACTCTGCCCTTTCCCCTGGGCAAGGGCCAGGAGCTCTCCTGGGGCATGTGCCATTGCCACCTGTGCCAGGGAACATTTCCCTCTGGTCCTGTGCCTGCTGGGACAGGGCACACCTTGGGTCACCCCCGGGTGATCCCGACGGCACCCAGCAGCTCTGACACTGATCTGTATGCAGGAATTCCATCCCTCCCTGACTCAGGCAGCATCCTACAAGCAGGGAAGCGCAGCTCTCCAGTCTGACATAAACCCACAGCTGTGGCTCTGTGAGGTGCTGAGCAGCTCAGGAGCTTCCTGCAGGAAGAAAGCAGGGGGTGGAGAGGAGCACCAGTGTTTAGGCCACCCCTTCTTCAAGGTGTGCAAGCTGTGCTTCCAAAAAGGCCTCAGGTAAACGCACGGGGCAGGGAGCTGCAGCTGCTGCCCACAGGCACGGGAACAAACACCAGTGGCTCAGGTGATGGCCCCAGTTCCTGAGTGGATTCAGCTGATTCCACACTGAGGTCTCATTTATGAGCCTCACCTGGCAGTGCTCACCAGCTCCTCTCACTCACCTGCAGCTTCTCTTCTTGTGACAAACTCTGGAGAGGTGCTGGGGCTTTCCTGGAAAGCAAAGTGGGGCTTTTGCTATAATCTGCACTGAAGTAAACAACAATCAAAATCTTAAATACTTCGTTAATGCAAACTGGGTCATAGGGACAAGGTGAGAACAAAGGAATAAAAAGGGTTTTTAGAATTGCATCTGTGTTCACCTAACTTGAACAAAGGCACCAAAAAGTCTTTAAGACATCAGCAAAAAGCCTCACCAATAATTTAAACAGGCTATTTCACTGCATTTTACCATTTTGCTCTTTCGTTTGCTTTAAAAATATCACACAAACCCCCCCACATTTGTGTATCATTTTTATGTAGAGGTTTTGCAACTGTGCCAGTTCCATTTTACTTTGGTCTGTAAGAACATATTTAGGAAATGTATTTTAAGCTACTACTGATAGGTCAGATATTTCATAAGTGTGCAAATTCCTGTTCATGCTCAGCTAACTCCATAAGGCATTTATCAGAAATATTGTACTAATTCAAAATTAAATTGCAGATAAATTGCTTAATATTACACAGCAAATAAAACAGATCAAAGTATAAAGCAGCAGATGCTTTAACTCTGCAATCATTTGTCCCATGACTAAAAGCAGAAAAATAATTGGTAAATTATTCATAGGGATCCTATTTATGAAATTAAGTGTGAAAAGGCATAACTGAAACTGTTAAAAGTAAAAACACTCCAAAAAGCAATGGCCTTGTGCTGGTCCTTGAAGTCCAAATTACCCTTACTGTGGCGTTTCAGAGCTTGAATCTTGTGCAGGCCCAGTCAAGAAATAAATTTTATCCTCAGCAGCAGGCAGGATATTAAGAGCAACACAGAAAGTGATGCTGGCTGCACTTGGAGGTCACTAAAATTGGAGCCATTTGGGGTAAACTGACCTGGAATTAAATTCAGATCCAGTGATTTCTAATGAAATTTGCTTGCCTATCACCCTAGCAAACCATGGCCAGGACATGGGAAGGTCCTGGTTCTAACTCAAGGCAAATCCTCATGGCAGGTGGCAGATTCTTGTCCCTCACATCCCTGTGCATCAGGATTTTTAGAGGATAACAAATGGAATAAAAGCACTGCATGGCCTGAAACCTGATCTGTTTACAAGACATGTGGCCGTTTTTGCTTCATTTGATGTTTTTCATTACAAGGAAGGAGATGCACAAGCCAACACTGAAAACATCTCTTGAATGTCATCTTTTGGTGTATACAGAGTATGTCAAAAGCGAGAGACTAAAGCAAAACTTTAGAGTCCACAATCCACATGCACAGAACAGGTGTCAGAATGAGAGGACAGCAGACAGCTGCAGACAGAGGTGGTGTTTGGCTGGGGCCTGGGAGCTGACAGAGCCTCCTACAGGAGCAGTGCAGGGGGCATGGCCAGGCCTTGCTGCCCCAGGTCCCTGCTTGTCATGTGCTGAGAGCTGTCAGGGTGGGCAGCTGGCCCTGGCTGGCAGCCACACACCTGCCCAGCTGCTTCACCCCCCAGCAGGACAGGAAAGAAAACAGGAGGAGAAAGAACAAGAAAACTCATTGGTGGGCATATAGATGGGGAAATCACTTCCCAAGCACTGTTGGGGCTAAATAGACTCAGCTCGGGGAATTCAGTTTATTATTTTGGAGGAAAAGTTGACAAACTCTAATATACCTTTCCTCCAAGTTTCCCAGGGTCAGCTCAGTCCAGGCCCTGCTCTGCTCCCTTGTTACCACAGCAAGTGCCATCAGACCCTTCAGTGAGGCAGGGGGCAGCCAGAAACATCTTGGACAGGTGTTGTTCCAGGTACAAAGTGGCTTCTCTGTGCTGCACCTTCCTTCTCACTCTCCTCCTGTGCTCTGACATTGTTCCTCTGTAGGCTGCAGCCCTTTTGTGGCAGTACCTGCACTGGCACAGGTCATTCCCAGAACCACATTATCATGTGCAACAGTTTAAGCAAAACTGATCCAGGGATTCTTTCACCTTTTTCTGAGTTTGGCTGGTTCGTGAGCACCAGAGGAAAACAAAAGCAGTATCACAACAGTGAAACCCCAGAATTCATACAGTCCATACATTTTTTGCCTATTTTCCCTATTTAAGGGAAATTAAGCAAATCTTTTATCCATTAACCCAGGCAGCTCGCTTGTTTGGAAAGGATCTCCCTAAAGCTTTAAAGCACACTCTGGAGCAGACTGAATGTGCTCTTCACCACACCTGCCCTGGGCACACAGGGCCAGCCTGCAGGGACTATGCCAGCCCTCCAGCACAGCGTGCGGGGCCACACCAGCAGCTTTCAGCAATGCTCTGACCTGTACCTTCATCCAGATTCAGGGCACAAACCACAACCATCTGGGAGTTTGTTTCTGTTATTCCACATGGCCACCTCACACTGATGTCCCAGACTGACTCCCAGTCCTTACAAACAATCCTTAAGTAACTTGTAACTCCACTCAGTGGCCATCCACAGACAGATGCTGCACAGATGAGGACTTCTGTTCTAAGGCTTGACTTGCATTAGAACTGTCTGAGCAAGACAGAAAACAACCATCCAAGGCCATGGGGAGGAGCTGTAATGGGGAACAATTGTTTGCAAGAAAAAGGATCTCTTCAAAGCCAGCTGTGAGAAGCAGCAGTCAAGCAAGGACCGAGTGAATTAGTCTTCAAAACAATAAAAAAATTCAGTCAGCTCTGGTAAGAACTTTCCAGCAGGTGAAGCAATTGCTGCATCAAACAGGGGATCTATTTCATTACTGGATCTGATTTCAGAAATCAGCATTTTAAACTGACAAACAACATAAACAGCTGCTGAAATTCTGCCCACCTGAACCATCTGGAAAACTAGCCAGGTGCAGAAAAAATCCCCATCAGCACTCCAACAGATGCTGCTCCATATTCATATTTAACAGCTTTCCCCTTTTGTAGTCATTTCATCCAGATGTTCCAGAAGGTACTGGAAGTTCAATTAGAGGTGACATTTTGTAAGTGCAAAGTAAAAACAACTCAGTATTTATCATTCTGGAGTGAACCTGTCCAACAAAGTCAGTTCCTCCATGTAAGGCAGCTCATACACCTCACAGCACAGCTCCCCTTGTGCTTGACCACACACTGCCCCACTGCTTCACAAAAGAAGACAGGCTTGAGCTTCGTGGGATTTGAAATTCCACATATTGAAATGTTTTCCACAGATTCGCTGAATTAGAAATGCAGAACATGTGAGACAAATTCCCAACCAAGTCCTAATGGAAGACCCACAGTAAGGTACCACCCTACAGACTCTCTGCTGTGTCCCTGTCTGTTACTCCTGATTGGTTTCTAGCAAGATTTGGAATGAAGCACTCAAATCCCAAACTCACATCAGGTTCAGCTTGGCAAAACAAGGTTTCAGTACCCAGGAAAACAAGAACTTTTCCAGAATTTAGTCTTCCATGCACATGGCAAACGCCACTACAAAGGGGTATTTTCATTGAAGTGGAGAGTAAACTTTCTCATGGGCAGAAATCAATTAAATTCTGATGGGAAGTAAAAAAATTAAAAATGGCTACTCTGAGGCAGTTGTAGCTGTAGTCTGCTTGACTCTGCACATCTGCATTTTAAAACTACAAAACAAATTAGCATTTTAGAATGCTGTGATTCTATTGTGCTTAAATGTTTAAGATGTGTGTAAGAAAGTGAAATAGATGCAATAAATGGTACCAGATGTTACAGAAGTTTTGGCTACAGACAGGTTGTATCTCTGCATAGAGGATGTCACAACAGCCTTCTCAGCTGCAGAACTTCATATGTAAATACTTTATAATTGTAAGTCAGCAAAGAGGTCATTCCATACTCACTAATATTGGATGGATTTAGGGGCTGTTCTTTCACTTGTTCCATGCATAAGGAAGGAAAACAGGGATTCACAGGACCCAGTAGCTGCACACCAATCTCTCTTAAATGATCCCTGGAAAGAATGGTTTGGTGAAGGACCAGACCTAAACCAACATTCTGCACCAAGGCAAGCACATTTACTGCTGACCTGCCCAACAGCCCTGAAGGAGTACCTGTTTAACCTGCTGCAAAGAGACAGAAGAATGAAATTCTGGAATATCTCTAGCTTATTTGGAAAGTTCACTATCTACATGTTTAGAAATCTTTTGCTTGCACTCCTTTTGCTGCAAATTAGGCCAATTTCTGCTGGTAAATAGAAAGAGAGCTGAGCTTACTGCTGTTCTCATGCAGCAGAAGAATGCTGTCATACATATCCTTGATCTGCTTTCACTAACCCAATTGCTTTATTCATCCCAGCAGATCATATAAACAAAAATGCCCAAACCATATTAGAGTTGTGTGAAAAACTGTCTGAGTTTCTCCAGTTTTCCCAGCTCCTGAAAGAGTAAATGGGTATCAGAATTTATTGTAAGACTTTCTAGAAAGCTTGACACTCCTTCAGAAGCAGCTCCTACAACTGAAAGCTCAGAAGTGTTAATATTTTCTTGCCTTCTGAAATCTGGTAACAAGAAATAACCATTTTTTTTTTATATAGGAAACAATGAGAAGCTTATAATAAACCCATGCAATAATTCTGTCCTTCATGTCTGCACACTCCAGAAGCCACAGCACAAACACCAGGATCTGCTCACCAGCTGTTGTGTGGCAGTACGATCCACATTCCCTCAGTGCTGAACCAAAAGGGGCACAATTCCCCAGCCATGGAATCAGAGGGGAAAATGAGAGCAATCCCTATTCCCAGCCCCTCCCAGCAGCAGGGAGGGCAGCTGGATCCAAACTGTCCCAAACTGTTCCCTCCTCCACGCTGGGCCATCTCCACCCTCGCACCTCTGGAGAGAGGCAGCAGCTTCAAAGGTTGAGCAGTTCTCTGTTATTGTATAACAGCATATATACACTTGGCACACAGGGGTATCATCATTAGACAGAGCAAGGGATGGCCAGAGAAAGTTACTTTAGTCCTGCACGCAAAAAAAAATAAGGCAAATCTGCTGTCCTAAAGTGGCCAGTTCCTTCACTATCTCCTACTACACCCTATATGCCTATGCAAATACTGTTTTCCTGGTATTTTAAGGGGCATTTTTTCCCTTTAGGAAAAGTGGTGCTGCCAGGGAAATCAGCACACTGACACAAAACCACAGAATTTGCCTGTGCTTAAAGACAAGACTGAAGAGGGAAAAGAATTTTAGAAGCTAAACACAGTTCTTTCATCACATCTTAATTCTGGGCTGTGAGAAGCCCTTATTAACAGTAATATGTTAGGTCATTCAACCATTAAATTTCAAGAATGTGCCCATTAACAAGTCTGCTGATTAGGATTAATTAGGGAGTGGAATTTCTTACATGGTACCTGATCACAGAGTTCAGAGGAAGTACAAACAACTCACAAGAAATCACAGCTCCTACAACAAAGGAATCAAACTGCAGATGCTGAAATATTTTATACAAAGCTACGTTTGCTCCAAGAGCCCTTGAGGCAGTCAGGCAGTGACCAGGGTCAGAGGAGAAGCAAGGTCCAACACTTACCTGGGTAGCTGCCCTTAATTTTTGTCCCTGAAGAGACCAAGTGCAACAGAGCACACTGGGGACTCATCTGCCACCTCTGCTCTCAGCACTGCTCTGAAAACTGACTGATGGGGGCTTTCATGGCAAAAATCCTGCTGAGGACCCACAGAATGGTTTGGGTTGGATGGGGCCTTTAAAGGCCATCCAGGCCAACACACCTGCAATGAGCAGGTGTTAATAAACCTTCCAAACACTGTACATACCAGAACTTTTCAGTAATCTAACTCCAAAGCTTTCCCTAAATTAAAAAGAAACAAAGTTAGTCCCAATACAATCAATCTACCCCCTTGGTATCACAAATCTTCATTTCTAACAACATAGCAGTAGCTCTGTAATTTAAAATATACACTTTATTAATTACTATAATTAAAACCAAACAGCTTTAAATGTTAAAAAAATATTTATTTCAATTCTGTATACAAAAAAAAGTCAAAACAACAGAACATTTATTAGTACTGAAAATTTTTGTGAATATTTAATGGCATGTATGTCCAAGTTCACTTTACAAAACCAAGGGCTTATAAATTGTAATCAGGTTTTTGATTTTCCTTAAGTATCTTTTTTACCTGACTAGCAGCACATCCTGTGCTTTTAAATAAGAAAAATATCAGAGTTTAGCACACACAGTATGTTACACTGAAACTTTTGACCAGAGCATTAAAGGATTTCTGAGGAACCAATGCTACATCCTTCTCATTTACATCTGATTATTACCTGCTGAGAAAAGTATACAGGTTTTTGAGACTTATTTTCAGTGAACATAAAAAAGTTGGCCTTCTATAAAAGTGTCTGCTGTTTAATCTACGGCTATTGCATATATACAAAATCAACCAAGCCCAAGAACACAGCAGAAATCAGCATTCTGTCTGTAGCTGGATTCCCACTGCAGTTGTGCCTGTTGTGTCCCAAAACCTCGAGCCCAAAGTCTGCATCCTGATATTGTGCTTTTCCCAGCAAACAAGAGCTTCCCTTACATACATTAGCTACAAACAGAAAGGGCAGGTACTATTTATTGAAAGAACACAGTAAAAAATTTCCTTTCAGGATATTTTTCTGTATGAAATACACAGCACTGTTTTTTATATTAAAAAAATAACCTCATAGAAAAGTAGACCTCATAAAGCACAGGTTGGTGAAACCCTTAAACTGCTTATCCTAATCCTCACTCCATCAGTGCTGATGAGGAGAATCCAACAGGTCTGTGTCAAAAGCCAATAACCAAATTATTCTTCTGCAGCCACACCGCTCTGCAACAGATTTACAGGAACGTCCCCAAGTTCTTTCATTCTGAGGATAAAATGCCTGGACAAGGAGTGATTTTCATGGTGATACTGGAAACCAAAGCCCTCAAGGTTCATCAGTTAACATTAAGAGGCAGCAGTGCCATAGAGAAGACAGACTTATGTGGAGGGTGTGCCCAGTGGGACACCTGAGCTCTCCGGTCTCCTGTCAGCTCCTCTGGCTGGGTAAGGAAATTCTCAAAAATGAACAATTCAAGGTAGCCTGTGTTTAGGTGTGATCTCCACAAGTCTACAAACTCTCAGCTCTGAGATTGGTCTTCAAACAAGATAAATATAGAGAAATAGTGGAATTTTTAAAGCTGCATGAACAGCATATACAAAAGAAAACTTCCAAGCCTTCTTAGAAAGGGAAACAGACATTTCAAAAATATTAGTAAATAAATATATACTGTGTATGGCATAGCCACCTACCTTTACAGAAAACTCCTAATAAATTATTGCAGCTCTGTAAAGGGCAGCAGTTTTTGATTTAAAACATAAATATTAAGAAAGGCTTTATGAAAACATAAGTAGTAACCACTCAGTTTTATCTCATCCAAGTTCTAGATAATATGATGTCAGGAAGACTGCCACACTGAAGTTTGTATTGAAAAATTCCTTGGTAAGGACAGCAGGGGAAGGATAGCTGCAACTATTTGTCTGCTCAAGAGCTTAAGCCTAGATTCACATAACCCAGCTACTGTCATCAAACCAATCTTTTCAAGTGGCATTTCACATGGTAATCCCAAAAAATGAACTGGTCATCAGAGATAAATGAGAAAGGTTTGTGAGGAAAAACTGCATAGTTTCAAAGTTACATAGAAAACGTAACATTTCAGTTGCAATGGAAGAAGAAAACCTGTTGTCTGAGAACATCAGCAGTCAAGAAGCTGAGGAATTCTTAAAGCTATACAAAATAATTTAAGGAAAAAAAGACAGTTTGAAAAAAACATCAGTCTTCTTCCATTTAAGGTGCATTAAGATGGAGATGGCCAAAGATCACATATTTATTCCTATCTCACATGGTTTTTATTCAAGTTCCAACTTTGAGTTTGAACCCACAAAATTCTATGCAGTTTTGCAACAAGTAGTAAAAATAATGGAAAAATACTATAAATTATTCTGTAAATTACAGATTACAAATAAATCTGTAAATATTTTGGTAAGCCTGAATAGCACTTTACATCAACACCTGCCAACTTCATCATCTGTCAAATCTACGAAGCCTTCGCCTTCTCATGTCCTCTTCTGAGTTCTCAGGTGGAAACCAAAACCCATAAGGTCGCTGCCCATGATTGTGTGTTCCTCCACCAACATCTACAAGACACAATGAAAAACAACTGGTTTTTTGGTCTGTAATAGGAGAAAAATGCACATATACCCTGTAAGCCAAAGTGTCACAACACAAAGGAGACAGGGAATTGAATGTTTTCAAATCTGATGGTTTCAGGGCAATTACCAAGTCCAGAAACTGCTCTGAAAAACAGACAAATAAAAAGAAAACCAAAACCAGAAAACTCTCCCAAACAATAAAGCTACCACCACCCAAAAAAACCACCCCAACCCAACAAGAAAACCAAACCAAACAACAAACCACAACAAAAAGAACATGTAACAAGTATTAACCAGTTAAGAATAACAAGTATTAACAAGTATTCGCATTTTTCACAATCCCTGCTTTTCACAGCAAACTCCAGAATGTTAAACTATTTCAGTGTTCTCAGCAGTTGTTTCTGCTAAAAGCAGCTTTTGTGTTTGCTTTTAGTACCGATCCAACATGTGCAGCCCCACAGCAGATGCACACACAGCTCCCACCCCAGCTGGCAGCAGTTCCACAAGGGAAGGCCACACAGCAGCCCAACTGTAGTTTAGTAACTGATTTTTAAATAATCATAATTAAGTTACTTGCACTTTTAAAAAAATTCTTTCCAGTAGTGAAATTGTCAACTAAATAACAAATTTTCCTATAAAAACATTTATTTTTCTATACAGCATCCCAGGTTAATTTTTATTTAAGAAAACAGATACCACTCACACAGTTAAGACAATTCTTGGCATAGTCCCCATAAAATATGCTCAACACTTCAAATATACATGTGCTTTAATAATCACTAGTAACAGAATGAGGTGCTATAAAAAAAGATGAAAAATGCTTTTTTATATATTGACCCAAAAATAGAAGGCTACACAATATATTTTGACAAGCTTTAGGTTGAAGAAAAGATTTTTTTTACATCAAACAATATGGTGAACAGCAAAGTCTGGATATCTTAAACAAATCTATTTGTATCTGCATGTAGATATTTAAATTATCCTGTTACCTAAAATAGTTCCCTGACACCTTTTTTCTTTTAATTACTGCAGAAATATTAATGAAATCACACCTTCGTCTTATCAAAATATTTATAAGCCACAGTATTCAGAAATGGTAATTAGGCCACTGCTACTACTGAAACACCACCTGACATCTGTGCAAGAAACCAACACAGGCTTTTCAACACATCAGCAAAAGCAAATGAAAGACTAATGGAATCTAAGCCTGCATTCAAAGGACATGGAAAACTGCAACAACACTGGGTGATAGATAACACCAAAGGATATAGCAAAACAAACTTAAAACAAAACATTAACCCTTCCATGGCATATTTTACAAATTCATTGTAAACTAGAACCACATTCTGAGAATACAGAAGACTGAGACCTCCATCCCTACCCTCTCACTCTGTGCAGGAGTTTCTTTTGTCACTTAAGTTCACAATTAAAGCACTCTGGAGCAGAAGAAAAATGCTGTAATTGCAACAGATGTAACTACACCTGTATTAATGCAAGGCCACAAAAGTGTTACATTAAACATTCTCACTTGATTTTTCCTCTTCTCTGAAGTTATGACCTTATATTTAGGCTAGATAACATGATTTGCAAGATAGTCTCTGTAAGAGTCAGGAGGAACATATGAAGCTACCAAACTGAAATATGCAATTAGGTCTGATAAGAAGAGCATAGCAAAGGAATAGCAGAGGTATCACAAAGCAGTATGTCTGTATTATTTTTCATGCCAGCTTTAGTTGTGTTAAAGAACAATCTAGAACATTTCAGTTGAACAGTTTACCATTTTCAGTATCACCATCTGTCCTGGCACTACTGAGTGTGGTATCCATACAAGAACCAAACTATCCAAACACTGAAATAGCCATACAAAGAACAGACATTCATTTCTACAAATCTGTTACTTCTGGAGAGGCTTTGCTGTGGAAGGCAATGAGGTAATTTCTTTTGAACCCAGCAAGGACCACACAGTTAACCAAAACAGAGAACTCTGATCTGGATATTTGATCAAATGTCATAACAACTTCCAACACTTGCTTGGCTTTCATTTTTACCAGTTTTATACAAATTGTCTCCTCCATAAATAGTATAGCCCTGCTAAATAAGTTATAACCACAGAATATTATTAAAGCTTACCAACCAGCACTTGGGTGTGCTACAGATCACATACAGTGCAATATATTGAACACCTGACTTGCCTTGCTTTTTAATGCAAAAACATCAATGTTTAAAGTGCTCTATTTAAGAAAATGGGAGTTCTCTTAGTTGATAAACATCCATTTTTTTTCCACAGAAGCAATGATGCTGGAAAAGACCTTTGAGATGATGGAGTCCAGCCTATGACCCAACACCCCTTGTCAGGCAGACTGGCACTGACACCACATCCAGCCTTTTCTTAAACACCTCCAGGGACAGGGACTCCACAACCTCCCTGCACAGCTCATGCCAAGGTATTTTTGATACATTTGGAGGTAGAAGCAGCAAACTGGAAGGCAGCAAGAAGCCAGAGTCAAAAACCCAGTGTTGCTTTACTCATTTCATCTCTTCCAGCCAATGAATAGTGAAGCCTTTAGGTCTAATCAAACTCGCTTATGATTCACTGAGTTGTACAGAGAATTTTAAGGAAAGGCAGGGCAGGCATTTTTCCTCCTTTCTTACTTCAGGACTAGGAGGCTTCCAGAAAGAGCTGAGACACACAAAACATAGCAACCTTTGCACTGTTTTGTGTTTCACTAGAAGTCAGACAGAAACTACAACTGAATAAAAAATATAAAGTGGCAAAACTGCTTTTATTCTTTCCTGTCCTTCCCTCTGCAAAATGCAGACGTGCTATACAGTCTGAGAGCTTTGGCTTTTGGTACTTATCACTGCCCCATTTTCCTGCTCAGCTCCAAGCAGACCACATTCAATAGCCTTTGCTATTGTTTCTAGCACAGCCCTTTCAGCTTCTGTCAATGTATGAAAATTTTGTCATGCTATGAAGCAAACTATTCATCCTGTCAATGTCTCATCTACAGACTTGAACATAAACTGGTGAAGAAGACTGATGGAATTAACTACTGTTTCTGTGCTATGCTTTGGAACAGCTGACAAATGAAAAATCAAATTAGCAGGGAAGTAGCTGAGGGTAATGAGTTCAGAAGGAAAGTAACATACACTGAATCCAGACAGAGCTGGATTGTAACAAGAGCAAGCCAGAACAATCTTGAACAGTCTCTGTCTCTTTCTTGTTTTTAAAAGAAGATGGTAAAATTGAGAAATACACAAAACCATTCCCTCTACAAAAGTCTGATAATTTGTTTTGGTTAGGAAAGGAAATGGCTAAAGACAATCTTTAATCCATTCATACTTAAACTCTTTTTGAAGTAACAATTTGTTAAAAGCACACTGGTACATTTTTAGAACCCTAACCCTAAATCCTGACTCTAAACCTAACCCAAACCCTGGGGATGCCTTTTGCAGCTGCAGTGAGCCTGGAACTCTGGGCTCTGTGGTTTTCAAAACCCTAACCCTAGGTGTAACCCTAACCCTAGGCACTAAATTCAGCCTAGGCCCAAGGCTGTTTGCAAAGAAAAAGCTTTGCAGCCCCAGCTTCTCAGTGCCACCCTCAGCTTCTCAGTGTGTCACCCACTGTCCCCTCTCCCTGCTCCTCCCTCAAGCCCCCACAGTGCCCCTCAGCCTCTGTCATGCCCCAAAAGGACCCTAAAAAAACCCTATCAATTCCCTAAAAAAGCCCTAGTTCTCAAACTGCCCTAAACACCCCACAAAAACCTAAAAATAGCCTCAGAATACACTAAAAATACCCTTCTTTCAAAAAGTCCCTAAACACCCCTAAAAATCCCTAAATAGTCTTAAAACACCTCTAAGAATACCCCAAAAAGCTTTAAAATGCCCTGATAAAAAAGGCTAAAAAATTCCCTCAGAAACCCTAGAAATCCCCTAGTCCTAAAAAGTTCTCCATAGACCCTCAATACTCTTCAAAAAGCCCTAAAAACTTTTAAATAGCCCTAAAAAAGCCCCAAGGATACCCAAAAACATTCCTAACAACTCCAATTAGTAGTAAGACAGCCCTTAAAACACCCTAAAATAATTCTTTTAAAACTCTGAAAAAACCCTAAACATTCCAGAGAATTCCTAAAAAACTCCTGCAAAAAAAAACCCCTAAAATATCCTAAAAATCTCTGAAAAAAATATATAATGAGAAAGTCCTAAATTGATTGTGATACCTGCTATTACAACCTATTTAAAATTATTTTATCTAATTTTTTGTCATGTTGAGTACCTGTTTCATCATCCATGTAATTACAAGAATCCCTGAATGTTCACACTTTAGGGAAAACATCGTGTTCAAAGGATAGTGCTCATTGAAGCTAATTATTTTTCAAACTAACTGACAGGGAAGAATATCCTAATTGCCCATTAGTACAGTAAATTTCATCTCTTCCTTTGTGTCCCTGAAACAGGTGTGATTAGTGACATGCTCTGGATTATGTTCTTTGTGAAACAAGACATCTGCCTATAGGCAAACTGAACCTTTACACAGCTTGTTTGAGGAAGTATTTTTAGAGCTCAAATCTTAGGTCTCACTTGTCCAAACTAAAAAGTGTTATAGCAGGCAGGAGAAAAGTGCAAAATAAAGCAAGATCCCTGTGTATGTGATCACATCAATTCTACTGGAAACAGTATATGATTATTACAGTGACCTTAGACGGTCACTGTGGTGAGAGAAGGACGAGAATCTTGTTTCTTGATCAGAAGGCTTGATTTATTCATATATATATATATATATAATACATTATAACTATACTAAAAAGAAAAAGAAGAGAAGTTGCAGAGAGCTGCTCAGCTAAGAATAGAATAGAAGGAATGAATAACAAAGTTCTGTGTCCAGGGAATCTGTCCCTGAGCTGCTCCTGTGATTGGCCTTTAATGGTACACATGGAAGATGAGCCAATCACAGGGACACTTGCCACATTTCACAGCAGCTGATAACAATTGTTTACATTCTTCTTCTGGGGCTCTGCTTCCCAGAAGATGGACAAATGTGAAAGAAAGGATTTCTATGAAAAAATGTCTGCGACATATGATGGTACCTTTTCATGCTTCACTTGCCTGTGAGGCTCACAAACTGCAACCAGCACTGAAACCAGGCATTAGCAGAGTGTTCAGAAATGCTGCTTTGGGCAGGGAAGCTTAAAGTGAAATTTGGTTCCACAGCAATCTAATAGTGAGGAACTCGTGAAATTCATTCTTGTGTTTCACCAAAGGACATTGTCAAAAAAACACATTCCCTCTGATAGCACAAAACTTACCTTTGTTCAAAACCACAAGGGGATAAAAACAATACATCTTACCTGGAGTGTTGGAGATTATTTAAGGCTACAAATGAAAGTTGCAGGTGTTTCAAAGTCATACATGTAAGCTTTTAAAGTACATACCATCTACTTAAATCTTATCACTCATTCATATTCAGTTTTCTTGATAGTTTCAAAAAACTCCACAAAAATGGCTCATTCTTTCAAGTAACATCTCAAAATGCTCAATATTAAAAGGAAGGATTTTTTTTCTCAAACTCAGTGTTAAAACTTATGCAAAATATCATCTTAAAAAGACAGTAAAATAGACAATATCCTTTACAAAAAAGCTCATTTTATATCAATTCCTTCCCAAAATGACAAGATATGTCCAAAAATAAGTCATGGGGAATACATCTTATTTCCCTCCTAAGTCCCTTCCAGTATGAGTCATAACTTAAGAGATAAAAATGCAATAAAATTCCTACCTCTTTCATTAAGACTGTTTAGCACTGCCCTTTCAAGCTGTTCCTCTTCAGTGAGCCCACCTGTATAATCAAAGTAGCTCCTTGGAACTCTGTATTGATAATCTGGATAATGGCCATAATACTCTGTAAAACAAATCAAAAAATAAAATCAATTGCTGCTACTCAGCAAGTGTGAAATCAGATATTATCTTCCTGCTATCTTTCTTCCACAAATTGTTTTAATTTGGGAAAGAAAAAAATTATTAGGGCTCAATTACTTATACAATATATGCCATAAATTAACTTCTAATTTACAAAGCCACAGCATAGTAACAGGAGGGAAAAAAAAACAACAAGAGAAAAAAGATGGACCAAACATCTCAATTTTTTATAACTGTAAAAGTAAGTGTCATAGAATTGCTATTACTAACAAGTTTCAGACAGAAATTGAAAGTCAGTTTTCCTCATCTCCTTTTAACATTTAATTGTCAATATTTGGAGACCTTACTGCTATCACCAGAACACAAACCTGGTACTGTTCAGGCTTTTTCTCCCCACCTCTCCTCCCCTTTCCCCCAGGGCCCACAAAACAATGTCATCATAAATTCCAGACATCTTTGGACCCAGCGAAGTCACAGGAAAAGATTGCTGCAAATTCCTGCAGTGCTGTAGAGAGCTCCTGCTGTGCTCTGGCCCAGCTAAAGCTGCCCTGCCAAAAGCCAGCACAGCACAGACCCCACCAGTGTCCCTGTCACTGCTGCCAAACCTCCCTGGCCTCTGCACAGCTGGCCAAAACCAAGCACAGGCCATCGCCCACCCAAACACATGGGAGTCAAAAGGAAAAAATTCCTTGGCTGGAGAATTGAGCAACACTCTCTTCCTGCTAACAACACAACCTGATCTTGACTGAGCACAGAAAACCTAAACTGAGAAAAATTATGGAAAAAAGTCACACTTTTCAACTGAGGAAAACTATGGAGAAAAGTTCAGTTTTCCTATTCAATTTCTGTATTTTCAAAATACAAAGCTTTTGTGATGTGTTCATTTCCAGAGAGCTGAACAAGGGATTTTGAAGAACCAAAGTACACAAAGGTTGCCAGTTTCTTCCAGCTGAGAGAAAATTATACAAAGGTTTTTCAAAATGAGAAAAGTGGAAATATTTTTGTATTAAACAAGTACAGCAGGCAATTTCCTTTTTCTTCAGATAATTAGCATCAATGATAGTCTTATGATCTTTCATTGGTTCTATCAATTCCAGGTGAAACTCGTGAAGTTTCTGTTGTTAGTAACAAATACAGATGACAAAGTGAGGACAAATAAATAATTTCTATTTAAAAATTATTTTGCTACAGAAAAAGATCCCAAGCTCTAGAATCTTTAGTCAAATAAAATCAGCAATACTCTGTCTTGAAAGTTATACAGAAAAAGCAGGAAAAACTGAAGAAAAGCATAACTGCACAAAGTTCTACACAGAATTATATATATTCCTCTGTATTTGCAAATATCCCCACATTGACTTTCCATAGACATGTACACATACACAGTAAACACACACATTCTGTCTTTTTCCAATTCTTTCTTGTCCTGGAACACAACTGACATCAGAAGATTTCTCCTACACCTGCAATGAAATCTGACTGAGGGACAGCATTCAGCTGTTATGTCTGTACACTCCCCTCATTCTCCTCTGCTTTATGTTAATCTGAATCAACATTTTCTCAGCTATAAATTTATTTTCTGAAGGTTTCAAAACTTCATGCATGAAGAGGGTAAAAATCCTGCTACTAAAAGCATTAAATTATCTGATGAAAGCAAAAAGATGCTGTATTTTAGGTTTGTTCTATTGTTGTAGTTTTTTCCATGTTTATGTTTCACACTGCCAGAAAGTTGTAAGTGCTCAGAAAGCTGTAATCTTTTATTTTAAAATGAGACACAGTTTGGTAACATTGACATGTTCAAGGTGTTCCTATTAATCAAAATAAATGTCCTAATCCTTTATTCATGAACTGCACTTAGAGAAAACCTAACTCAGCTACTAAATACTAAATGTGCTAAAATTACACTTACAACCTTCTTTCTTTCAAAGCTGTTTCCTTGTGCTGTTTCATAAAATCTACTCTGACCACAGCTTCATCTATTTTTCTACTTAAATTGGTATTTAAAGGCACATAGTAATAAATCAGCAATGCCAGAAAGTGAAAAACTAATCAAGATATGCATCATTAGCCTATGACACTAGAGAGAGTTTTCTTCATTCACAGATGGCCAAATTTATTCCATATATCATACACCAAGCAAAAGGTTAAATCTTCCATTAAGACTTCTGCAAATAGGATGAAAGACAATTACAAAGTATGTGAACAGGGAATGAACACAACAAATATATATTTTCTTAACTGCAGTTGTAAGTCATTTTCAACAAACGGATTTGGTACAAAGAAGAAATTAAATGGTTATATCTAAAGGCAAATTTGGAGGACAGCATAATTCAGGTTAACTCTCTCTATCTCCCCTTTGTCCAAAAGAACTCAAAGTAATAGCATTTGAGGACTGCTCAAAACACACAAAAAATCCCAGACTTCTATGTTGCCAGCATACCACAGCTTTTTTTTCCCTCCCCATCATGGCAGATCTACTGCATGAAATCTCTTCCATTTTCCCTACTTGAAAAGAACTGGAAAAGCAAACAGAAAGGGCTGTTGAGAATCTCTCTGCTGCTCCTCCACAAGAGTGGCCTCATACACCACCCAAGCTCCCAGCAGCTGCTGTTTGTACAGGGGCTGTAACAGATCAGAGTTTAAATGTTGAGTACAAATTCTTATCTTCATTAGCTATTAAAAAGTTTTTTCCAATATAAATCTTTGGAGTTTCCCCCCACCCTGCTGTTCTGGGATACTGGAAGAAGGCTCAGTGTCCGTGAGCAGCTCCTGTACCTGGATGAGCCCCCTCCCCTGGGCTGGGACTGCCAGCCATGGCAACAGGTCACTTGTGCTGTCACCTGTGCTGTCACCTGTGCTTGCTGCACACGCTGCCTTCACCTCTCATTTCACTTCTCAGTAGTAATTGTTTTATGTCTTTACTGGCCTTTAGATCAAATGCTTTGTGACCTGACAGTAAATGAGAGTAATGAAAATCCTGGGCAAATATATTTTTAAGTTGGAACAATCCCTCTTGCTATTGCTGAAGAAAGCAGACTAAGATCTTTTTTTTAGGAATTACAAAACAGATGTTTCAAAAATACTTAAGGGCCCAGAATCCTACTTGTGGGAACTATTTAATGTAATAATAAAATTGGAGATAGATCATGGAAGACGAAGTCCATCAGGGAGAATAAAAGTAGCTATAAACTTGGCTCAAAGTAAGCACATCTCAATTATAAAAGACTACACAAAATAAAAACCCCTGCCTGACAAAACATCAGAGAACAGTAACAATGATCAAATGTGTGAAATAGTTTCCTTATAAGCAACCAGACAGACTCCAACTTTCTGAAAGGAGGGGAAATATAGCCATTGTGAGTACAGGACTGAAGCCTGAAAAACCACTAAGGAAAGAAGTACATAAAGGATGAAGGTTTAGTCTCCCTCCCCAAAGAAGAATTAACGTGCATCAAATGAAATTAGCAGTTAGCAGGTTTAAGCCAAACCAAAAAATGACAGATTCTAAAGCAGGAACCACACTGTGAGTCTTTTCTGATGATGTAGGTGTTAAAAGTGTTCACGTTGACTCAAAGAGCTTTTGACAAATTGATGGAAGAAGGATCTACCACAGGCTATTAAAGACAAAATCCTCCCATAAAACTTCTTGCTGAGAACATCTTTAAGCCACAAGCCACTGCACACTGGCAGATATTTGAGAGAGTTATCACTATGCATTTATCCTGCTCTTCCAGCATAAATCACTGCAGGAGGTAAGAGATGCCAGGCTATGCATCCCTTAGCTCACATCCTACACCCAGAGCCCCTCTCCCAGCCCCTCCTGGCCCCCACAGACAAGGACCCCACCTATTATTGCTGCACACTCCACAGGCAATGATTCAGTGCTCTGCAGGAGAGGTGAATCAAAGGAGCTCCACTCAGTGCCACCATTCCAACCATCCATCTACAAACTGCAGATGGCCTCAATTCAGGCTGCTGAGGAGGGGCTTTGTGTACATAAATTACTTCATTTACAGAGAGGGCTCAAAGGAAGAAGATCCTTGTTAGAAGGGAAAAACCACCCTAGAATGGAACAGATAAATTTGCCAGATGAGGGCATATTTACCAAGGTCCAAAAGGCTGCTTTCAGTAGACACAATTTCCCCACTGCTACACCTTGTGCAAAAGGGATGATATTTCCCTGAGGTGGCGTTTTAGGAAGTCGTGACCTTAATTTGAGGCTTAAGCCTCTTGTACAAAATCCATCCACACACTTGCCTGAAGAGGAAAGGTGAGAGATGCCCAGAGAAGTAATATAAGTTAAGCAAGTATATGTGTGCAGAATATTTTGTATACTCTGCATGTTTCCATTCACATAGCTCTCCTGTAGGTTTTCTAATCATTAGCAGAAACTGTTCTTAAAGCTGGAGTAAGTTTTTGGTTAAGTGGACAAGAGTACATACCTGAATAGTAGTCCCTTGGCCTGTCAGGCTCAGTGAAGAAAGAAATGCCAGCTAAATAAAAGAATAACGCATATACTGTTAGAATTATCATATTTGGTTTATAGAATACAAAATTCAAATTTGAAGTACCCTCTCTTTAAGAGTTTGTTTCATAAGATACAGGCAGGAAATCAGTTATGGGTATCTGTGGATTGTTTTGGCATCAGTAAGAGAATATACTATTGCAATCTTGTATGTTCCAGATTTTATAGTAGAGTGCCATGTTCAAGCAACAGATCCATGTAGACTAGAAAAAAAGCAAACCAACCTCTAATGTTCTCCCAGAACACATAATGAACACTTTCTTTACTGAGAGTATTCATTAGTAACAACGTTTAATGCACAGCAAACTGAGGACTGGAGCAACACTGCATTATTATTGCTTTGCTACACAGGAGAAAAAAAAATGCCTGTGTGCTCAACACAGCTTCCTGCAGCTGTCAGTCACACAGAACCTGCACAGCAGCCAGGGCAGGGGTCACTGGCAGTACTGTGGGGTTATCCCTGAATCCCAGGGTTGTCATCTCATTGCAGGGGCTCCATACTGTTCTCTCCTTATCACAAGCTCCATACCTTCTTGGTGTTTCTCCTAGGCAGCTCCTCAGAGCACTGACTCTCTTCTTCACAAAGAAGCCACTGACTCCAGTTCCCTTCTCAAGGGGCCAACCCACTCTGTTATAGCATCTTCTTCTCATTGCTTGCAGCTGTGGCCTGTTAAAGTCAGGCCTGCTCCTAATCTTTGCTAATTGGCCCAGCTGCAACTCCTTAGGGGTAAGATTACTTTCTACACTATCTTTATTATATTCTATGCCCCCTACATCCCAGAGAAACTGATTGGAAGGGACCTCAGAAGGTTCCCAGTCCATCTCCAAGCAGAGCAGGGTTAGTGAGGGGATCAGAGAGGTTACCCAGGCACAGCTGCATCTTGCCCAGTCCAAGGTGGAGCCCCTGAAGCTGTTCCATAGTGATCAGGCAGGGCCCTGTGGCACAGCATCATGCAAGGTTAACCTTTAACTCACAGGACATCTGATGCCTGTTCCTGCAGCAAGGCAGGAAAGCTGATGCTCTGGTGTCATTTCCCTTCCAGCTGCTGACCATACATGACCCACAGAATATCCCCAAGCTGTGGTCAAAGCCCCAGTGAGAGCACACACATCTGAACAATTAATTCCCCACTGTACAAACACGATATCCATGTTCAATTTGATGGAACACTCATGAATAAAGTATTCAGCCTATCAAGCAGTCAGACAAAAAAAGCCAAATATTCTGCCAACCAACCCCAGCACAGCTGCTGTGTTGGGGCTTAGACTTCCAATTAAAACACTGACATCTATGGGACTGTTCATTTAAAAGTTTGCAGGGCTGTATTTAAAACAATTTTTAAGACTAAAGATGTCTAAAGCTGTAATCTTTTTTAGAAAATAATAATTATTGCAATATGAAAAGCTGTAATACCACATTGCTGGAAAGCTTGAGAAATCCAGCAACCATTTCTTAAGCATCCCACCACCTTTTTCAAACCAGAGACTCCCATTAGAATCAATATGACAGCAGAAATCAAGATGGAAACATCTGGTTCTGACATATGCTTAAGGCTCCACATTTCACTTGAAGTAACATTTTCATTGGAAGATTATACTCTAAATAAATACTTAAAAAGAAGAGTAAAAGATACTCTTCTAAGTAAAAATATCTGAAAGTCACATTTAGTCTTAATTGTTCTTATCCATATCTGAATGTTTTATTCTGCATCCACTTGAGTAAAATGAGCACATCTTGAATTGTCTAAAAACTTGCTGGAATGGGCTGAATTTCTATGCAAGGCTTAATGAATTTTAAAAGTAAAAGTATTCCTTATGCCGATTTTGTAAATTCATCAAAATGATGTACCTGCACAGGCTCGCATGATCTTTTTCAGAGGTCCCATAGTGTACATCAATCCAACAAGAATCCCTGACAGATGCCCAGCAAAAGAAGTCCTAGAAAATAAAAAAAATCCTGTGAGTAGTGGAGACTTTTTGGTAGGGATACAAAAGGGAGAGTGTAGAACTGGTTGTAAAGATAAAGTCTCTGAGACTTCCCAGAGAAAATCCCTGAGTGAGAGCAAGCACAGAGACATCACTTGCCTGCAAGGTTATAATGCCAAATCTTCTTTCTTTGTAACTACCTTAAAACTGGGAGTTACACAGTTACAGAAAAGAATTTAACAAATATCCTGAGAAAGCTAATTGCAGAGATCATTTTAGTCGCTATAGAATACGATTCCCTAAAAGCATTTAAAGACTTAGCAAAGGAGGAAGTAAACAGGTTTTAAGCTTTAGAAAAGTGACTTACATTGTAATGTCTGGGTAGATCTTACCAAACCATGTATATTTCTGAGTGACAGCACAATACTTTCTACTGCACTATCCATGCAATCCTACAATTAGTGTAAAAGAAGCATGAATGCAGATCCACTGCAATCTTTGTAATACACTTTCTTCAAAATTAAAAGAACAATTGAATTGCTGAGATCCAAATTGTTTTCTATGCATACCAACAATTTCTTTAAAAAATATCATTACCATTTGTATACAGAAGGAAAAGACTCTGAGTCTTTTGAGAAATCAAACCAGAAGAACATGTTTACAGTGAACAAGATTTGCTCAAGTTATTGACATAGATTGACATAGATCAAGAGAAAATCTTCTGAATTCAAGCAGATGTAAACACTAGTTGCAAATTTTTCACCTCTTACCAAGTTACAGGAGCCAATACACTAAACATTAAAATTTCCTCATATGTGCAATTAGAAATAACTCATTTATACTAATTGTCAAAAATTTTAAATTATACAAGCTAAAATGGCCTTTTTTTTCCTTTATAAAGTAGAAATGAAACCTCTGTTTAATGCACCAAGTGTAAAGTTTGCATCAATTTTTACATTCAGGTCAGTGATCTACAGAGTTTGACAGATGATGGCACAAGCACTCAAGCCAAGCCACCTTCCAGGCATCAGTGGTAAAAGGAGACAGGAAAATGCAGGTGTCACTAGAGGGAGGTAAAGATCACATCTAAATTCACTCTTCTGCCACCTACTTGACCTCAAACCCTACAGTGCCACGGAGAGCTGCAGTTCTCTCTCGTTAAAAACCAACAACTCTCCAGAGAGTAACACATAAATGCTGATGTGAAAACTTAAAGATAAAAGGCAGTTACCAAAATAAAGTATCTATAAGGACCTAATTTTCCAAACAGATTTTCTGGAGCATATTTTCCAAATTTATGAAAAATGCATGCCTGACTTGGAAAATATCTGACCTCAGAAAATTAAAAATACTTAGAAATCACTTATTCTAGAAATCACCAACGTGATATTGGTTCACCTAAGACTTAAGATATCTGCTCAATTCTGGAAGAGGCACAGATGAAACAGAAGATAACTTTTCACACGTCTCTTCTTCCATTAAACAAATAATCCCAAAAGCCTACATCTCAATATCCTTTATGGAAGGTGAAGATTAGAAGGATACTGAATGCACTTTAAATTTTTTCCAAAACAAAAACATTAATGAGAAAGAAAATATTAAGATGTCAGTAAACTTCTAAGCCCTCTCCCAGCACACAAAAGCAGGTCCAAATTTATTGCCTAAGCTTTCCAACTGGGCAGAATTCTGCCTCAATTACTGACCTCTTATCTATTCAAAATTAAATTCTGCAATTTGGTTTATAAAAGGAACCAGTTAAACATAGACTTCAAATATTATAACGTGCCCTGAGCACACAGATGAGCATGTAAGAGCAATGCTGTGAGAGATACAATTGCTCTGGTTCATTGCAAGGCAGTAGGCAGTTACTAATTAAACATATGTTCTAGGACATAAATTTCTGGAGATCACTACTTGTTTTCTGTAGCCCCCATTACCATTTAAGTGCTGTGAAATTGCTCTCTGTAGAGGTCACAGTAGAGGTTTAGATGAGGCAGCAATCTAAACTTCCATGAAATTATGAAAATTTTTTTATATTATTTTTGGACTTTCTATCCACTCTCTACCCAAAGACATTTCTGAACAAGAACAGCACACAATGACTGAATTCCTGTTTTTCCTCTACCATAAACAGTAGGATACAGTTTTACTTCATACATAATGCCCTTCCACTATCCTTTAATTAAAAACAGTATTGTTAAACACATCACCAAATAAAACCTATGTTCAGCTAAAACAGCGGTTTATGTATTTCAGAAAAAAGTGTTTAATGCACTGAAAGCTTTATTTTTATATTTGTAGCTGTGCCATGCAGCTCAGAAATAAATCTGCATTTGGGCAGAGCACTCTTCTTTAATCCTCACTGCAGTTAATTGAGCAGCCAGGCATAAAGCCATAAAACCAGTGCTCAACCTGAGCAATACCTGAATTCTCCTTCTGTGCTAGGAAATGTTCTACCAGCTGTATAATAGTACCTGACAAGGAATATCTCAGTATTGCTGAGCTCTTTTTTTTCCCTGAAAAAGGGAAATTGTACATAAACTGTGATTTGATAGTTCATAGGTTTTGTGTCCGTACTTTGCATATATTCAGCAATGTGATTCACAGTTACAAAATACTACATAGGAAAGTTACTCACTTGCAAACAGGACTTAAAAACTCAGCTGCAAAGAAGAGCAAGGTTCTCCCAGAGGTAGGGGCAGATGAACTGTGCTGGCACAGAGCACCCAGGGAAACTGAGGGAGATGAGCAGCAGCACTGCAGGACAGTGACACTGCCAGTGACAGAAGTGGCAGAATGCTGGATGATGTTCTGATCATAAATCAGAGGCGTGACTAAGCCAGAGGGGTCTGGAACAGCAATGGCAAGCAAAGAGTGCAAGGCTGCTCAGCTAATGCAGCCCTGGGCACTGTGGTGGAGCTGTTCAGGTACCTCATGGAAAAGGCTCAGCCCTTTTCCTTGCTCATCAACTTTTGTTATCTTCCCTCAAATACTCAAATACACATGCTGGGAACAGTATTTCAGGTTTTTAATTTGAGATGTACTCAAAAGAGAGGGTTTGAAGGAAAAAGCAGACTGCAGGCCCAACACTGCACTGGGATACCAGCTAACACTACTCACACCTCAAACTACTCCAGACAGCCCAAATCTCCTTTCCTTTCCTTGAAATATCAGACGCACTTACCCTGGGGAGATGAAATGAATAGCCAGCAGCTCCACCCAACACGCATATTTACTGGATATGGGCAATCCAAAGACACTGCTCACTCTTCCTGGGTTGTAATGGTTGTTCAGAACTTTCAAAGCAAACAAGACTCCTGCAAACAAGAAGAAATCACATGAAGAGAGAAATACTCGTGCACAAATAATAAAGAAATGCAAACAATTTGAAGTACCATGCAGTTTCAAAGCACCATGACACATATTGCTGCATGCCAGAGCAGTTCTGCTCTTTCAGTGATACTTTTCAGTGACTTAAAAAAAAATAGAAAAATTGTGTATTTCTCTAACAGCCAAATCTAAGCTGGTTTTTAATGTGCCTGCTCACTGTAGCTATTCAGGTATTCAAAACAATACAAACATTTAAAATGGGACTTCTATTGAAATAATTGACAAAATTAGTGAACTCAAAAACATGTTCTGTACTTGAGAAAAGCCACTACTGAAAACAAGACAAACAAATATGTGTAAAGCTGAACAGTAGGTTCAAATTCTGAATTAATGGAAAATCATCTTACACATACTCCAGAATCACTTGTTTCTGCAAAAAAAAAGGTAGATAAATCACCTTTAATCACAGTAAATAGTATTAATTTCTAACTGACTGCAATTGTTTTATCATGCAACTGCCAGTCAATATGATGGAATGAATTCAGAGAACTCATTGGAAGTATTTATGAAAAAGTCCCTCTCAAGAGAAAGCTCACAGTGGTCTGAGGAACTTTCTTAAAGGCTGAGAAAGAAGGCTTGCCTTCTAAGGTTAGGTCCCAAGGACAGCAAAGAAATCCCCTACTTATCTAGAAATGAAGGGCTACTTTTCTACTTGACTGCAGATTTTTTAAAGAGAGGAAACTTATTGACTTGAAAATGATCTGCTGAAGGAGGAGACAAGACCATTACTGGAAGGAAGATGACCAAAATCAGGTGTCTGGATGCTGCTGGCAGAAGCAGATCTAGGGGAGTCTCTCCAAAGACAGGCATGAGTAATTTTAAACTGACAGGCTTTTCTAGAAGCCACCTAAGCAGCATTCTTGAAATGCTTATACAACATCTGAAAATTAAGGGTTCAGACTTCAATTAACCAGCAATATTACACAGAAAACACAATTCTCCAAGGATGATGATATTTTCATGTTCCCAGACAAAGTACCTGCTGCTCCTAAGAACAGGAACTGAATCACTTTTATGTTCATGCCCATAGTACATGTTTAAATTGAAAAACAGGATATGGATACTGATGTGACACTCATACATATATACAGATGTACACCTCTTCTCTTTCTGCAATTAACAGTTCTTGTTATATAGCAAATATACAGATTAACTTTACATATGTCAATTGGACCAACCCTGTGTCTCACCTGAAAAACCTACGCCACAATTCATTTCATAGGAAGGATCATCCAGAATTATCACAAGCAGGACTTCCAGCACCATGTAAACTACTCCAATCAGTACAGAAAATACTGCAATTATGTAGGCAAACCATATGCTCTTCAGCTTTCTTTCCAGCATTATGCCCTTCCAGAGCATGGAAATCATGTTATAATACAAGTGCCAATCATCTGCATGGTGGAAAGGAGAAAGCAGCAAACGCTGCCAGTTCTTTTTGTGGACAGCTTCATTTACACTGAGACACACTTCAGAGAGCGGCCTCAAAGGATTCAGAAAGAGAAAAATATTCAGCACAAGTACCCCAAGGGTAACAGCAGGAATGTTCTGGAGCCCAACTTGAGAAATTTGATAAAGCAGCAAAAGCAGTCCAGCACTGACTCCTCTTTGCCTTCGTTCCATGGTTACTTCTTCATTCAACGAAATGTGAAGATTATTTCAATTTCCAGTCTTTTGTGCAATTTTGAAACCTTACAAGTTTTGGAAATTCTGAAAGAAAAAAGATAACTTGTTATATACATATTGCAGTGTTTTGAATTTCATCACTGTTTTTTTAAGTTTTTAAACATAAAAAAATTCATCACGGTAATCAGCTGAGACCTTTGATATATCAGAACAAAAATTCAAGTGAGGAAAAGAAATCAGAATTGGTAAACTGATACAAAACACAAAAGAGATTTATACAAGCAATCCAGACAAGCATTGAGAGAAAAAGCAGTCTGCAACCTCTGTTTCACATCCTTCCACAGGCTGTACTTAATCCATTAAAATGCTTGGGTATTCTGGACATGTTTTCATTAATTCTGATTCAGTCAGAATCATTAAGATTACAGGAAGGAGAACAGTTCAAAATTCTTCTCTAGCATCTCAGTTTCCAGGATTCCTATTTTTGCCACATATTTAATTTTTTTTAATGACCATTTTTCCAAAATTTACAAATATTCAAAACAAGCTAAACTTGAAAACTAAAAGTCACAATTTTGACAAAAGGAACAGAGACACAGCTAAATACTACTAGATGCAATCTGAAAATTGTTACTCCTTTCCTAGGGATGAGAATTAAGAGTTTGGTTTAGAAGTAAGTGATGGAGAAAAGAAAATTATAGGGGGAAATCATATACAAAACCAGCATTAAAAAAATTAAAGAGTTGCAACAAAATTTTCATCTTTGCCTTATTTATGCCAGAAGAAACCAGGAGATTAAAGAGGGCTACAGAAACAGATTGACTCTGCCAGGGACTGAAAGGGAGGAGGGAGGAAGCTGCACTGGGTAACAGGGGCTGTGAGCGTGGAGCTGCCTGTGGAACAGGAAGAGAGCCAGGATTCGGAACCTCTGCCACCAGGTTTCAAATGAAACCACCTGAAATAATGAGATATATACAAAATTCTCATTTCAACACCCCATTAACCTTCTTTTTTACTAAACACAGTTGAAGTTAATTTACTAATCTTTTTATTTAAATGCCTTTCCAATTAATACAAAATTATTCCTCTTCAACATTTTCATTAGATAAACAAGCAATAATCTAATTCTTCTAGAGGACAGCTCAAGTTGCAAAATTTAACCTTCCCCATTATGTCTGTTAGGATTTACTAATTTCACATTTCTACACACCACTGCCATGCCTGCAAACACTTTACTAAATATGTTTATTCAGGTATTCAGAGTGTTCTTAATAATTTGATTGGGTTTCATTCCACAAAGTGAGTGAGCAGATGGAAAATAAAAAGCATCTCTGGGTGATGTTATCCCGTGCCAGCAAAAGGACCTGGAGACCTGCACAGGGTGGAACATCAAGGACCAGCCAGGGGCCAGGCCAGGCCACCTTCTCTGCTTATCCTGAAGTGAGGGAAGCACACACTTCCATGCCAGTTCACACACAGAATTAATTAATGCCACTTCTTATAATTAAGTATTTTTTTGTCTCTGTATTTCTGTTTAAATCATATTTATGCTTATTATAGCAATTTGAGAGAAGAAAAAACCAAATTGGTTGTGGTTTTTTATCCTGAAAACGACTGCAGTAAACCAGAATGCATCTAAAATGTATTTGGTACATTACAATGAAACTGACTACATTTTTCCCACGTTATTATTTTGGAAATGGTAAATAATGCCTAAACCTTGTCCAAAACAGAGTGAAAACAACAGAAACATACCAGGCCTCTTGAACATGTAACTTCCTACACTGGTGCCTTCTAAAACCAGTGGTAAATGATCCCAGTTTAAGTGCAGAGACCACAGCTGTAGCCTTCGCAAAGCTCAAATAAACAAACCTGGTAAGCTGCAAATTGGCCATTGCAGATAGTTACTTGTCAGTCTTTGATTTAAAGTCAACATTACCAAAAAAATAGTTAATCCAAAGTTTAATCAATGTCACCCTCTTTTTCCTCACTTGTTAGAATCTATAAAGTTAGAGGGTTTTTTAAAAATAGTTAAAAAAGAGTATGTAGGCTTTAGCTTCTAATTCGAAGTTCTGTTACAGCAGAAGTTTCTTAAGCAAGTGGAGAAGTTTTTTAAGTAGTAGACGTGACAAATAACAATAAGACTTTGTAGATTTAGCTTTAAGATAGCAACAAGTTTATTTAATGTATATCTTTAGAAAGTTAGCATGAATAGAACTCTGTTCTTTGTTTCTTATGAAATAGTCTTTGTTTTAACTACCATTACGTATGTTTTATAAGGTTAGATAGAAAGCTTGTCAATATGTCTTGTTTTTGTGTGACTGGCTGAAATCTAAACTGAGATGATTTTATGTCATTCCGTATTACCCCACCTTCTGAGACATTTCTCAGTAAACTAGCTCTGACATCAGGTACACCAACACCCCCCAATATTCTAATAATCTTCTGCCCAGACCTCTGGCTTTTCTTGTCCCACGTGCACAGTCACATCTTTTTCACCACAAAACAATCGACACAAAAACTGCTAGAATTTTAAAGTGAACATCCTTTAAATGCAAGTTATGAGGGAACATCAAAATCTTGTCATACCACATTGTTCAAATGGTCAGTCTTGTGTTTAAAAGTTCCCATCTCTGCTTCTGACACCCTTAAATTCCCAATTTAAGTACTTTCAGCACCCATGCACCTAAGAAAAGAAACCCTCATCCAGCACATAGCCAGACAATAATCATGGAACAGGACTGGGAATGAAATCCATCACGATTTCAGCAGTGCTGGTTATCATAAACCATTCCCATTACTGGGAGCAACCAAAAATGTCAGCCAAAACACGTTTGTGTTTGAGCCAAAGGGGAAAAGACCCCAGCAAGAGAACAGGAGATATCTGAGAGCCTCCTTAATGCAGCTCCCCTAAAACACACAGAGCTTTCAGCTGTTTGAACATTCCTCCTCAGCCTCTACTGTTCATTAAAACTCTAATGAGGCTTGAAACAATGAAGCACTTTTTTCCCTTTCCTTTTCCTTTTTTGAAAATATGCCACCTACTTCAAAATGTACAAATTTCCAGAACAGACTTGAACCAGACATTTGTCTCACATCCAGGCTGCCACGTGCCTGCATTATTTGTCACCTACTCAAGATAAATGTCTGAACTAAATATTCTTGGAATTTGTTTGTTTGTTTCATACTAAACAAGGAAAAGCATTTAAACTTATTTTTACTGTGGCAAACCCCCTCACTCACTCGGCAACCATAAAATATTATGACTTCACATTACTAAAAAAAAAATGTATTAAAGTAAATATTTTAATAAATATCAGTTAAAATGAAATGTTCTACCACATTTTCCTATAGCTGTAAGAGGTGGGGAAAATGCCTAACAGAAAAAACAACCAATGTAAGGAAAAATAAACTAAAAAATTGAAACACAATGAATCATCCTGTTTATATTTCATAAATATACAAGGAGAGAGTCAGCCACAAGCTGTCAGCTACAATCAGCTTTGACATGTCCAGTCACCTACACAGTTCATAGCATAGACAAGGTCCTGACTTAATTATAAAATTAATTACTTCATAAAGAACAACTTCTGGATTCATCAGATGTACATTTAAAGGGCTTTCCTTCACAAAGGAATACTGAACGGCGAACTCAAAAGACACAGCACTTCAGAATTTGGTAAGAGAAGTCACACATCTGTAATAAAAATGTTTTAAAACAATTTAAACTCCCTTACTGAGACAATTCGAAGTTAAATATCAGCCTTCAATGACTTCATAAATGGCTATATCACAGGCTTTTTTTTTATTGTGCAACATTTTAAATTTCATTCAAAGTTTTCTGTGAGAATAAAGAAGTTCTTCTGCCTCTTGTATCTGCTTCAGCATGAAAACTGAAAATCTTTTACAGCCTTTTTAATCCTCTTGGGTACCACTAAAGGAGGAAGTCCTTAACCAAATAAGCTTTGTAACTAAAAACTTCACCTTAAAACTGAAAATTGTGTTCTGAAGGGTGCAACAATTACTGTTCACAAGAAAATATACACATGTTAAACAATACATGCCAAGAATCATTTTAGCCACCTTATCCCAAAATAAATGAGACAGCTTTCACAGGAAAGAACCCAAGGGACCAGGTCAAATCTCTCTCATAACAGACAGTAATTAGGAACTGCCTTTCAAAACACCAGGATACATCTACACTAATTGAAGTTGGAGAAGTGAAATAGTCATCAATATTTAATATCACTGTACTTATAAAGGTAAGAGGATGTCACACTTAAAATAAAAATACATCAAAACAACAGTGAACTTCAGATTAGGCCAGAGCTGAGTTTTAACTTCACAGATATTTAACTCAGGGTCAGGGATTTGGGGTTTGTTGGGTTTTTTTTCCCCCCACTCAATTGCAATAGTTGTGTACAATGTTAAAATTGGGTAATCAGACTAGAAGAGCATCCTCCTTTATCTGCAGAACTTTTTAATATTATGAAAAATTAAACCATCAAAGATTGCCTGACTCCACTACAGAAGTGTGAAGCACAACAGCTCTCACAATTCTGGCATTCCTTGGTAGCTTAGAGGGACAATTTGTCTGCAGTGTGTAAGAGAAAGGAAAAACAGGAAAGGAAGGAAAGGAAGAACAGGAACTTTCTAAAGAAATCCACTTTAAAATAATACTGGTTAAATAAACAATTCAGAAGCACATGCTTCCTAGCATTAGCGTTATACTGCTGTTGTCAACACCTCCAATCTATGTCAATAAAAAGCAGTTCCAGGAAGAACATCACTGTGCTATTTCAGGAAATCTAACCAGCTCAGGTATTGTTAATTACATTTCACAGACACTTGAATTACTCAGACTCGGCGTTTAACTGCGAGGCTTACCAAATGCAGGCAAGATACACTTGCCTTTGCTTTTTCTTCGTTGCAGCCCCAAGATATTTGCAGTTTTGAGGGGTAGGTTTTTTTTGTTTTGTAGTATTAACAAAGAAAGGGATATAGCTGTGGCGAATTATTGATTTTGTTAAGAAGTTGTTTCTAGAATTTATAAAAAACACCACTGCGGAAAAGGGGGCGAAGGAAAGCAGTCAGGCCACACTGGGGCGGTGTGAGGAGCACACCATGAGCAGCTGTGGCTGCGGATAAGCCCCGCTGCTCCCGACACCCGGCTCCTCCCGCCACCACAGCGCTCCAGGAGCCGAGTCCACGGGCACGACGCTGGGTGTGTGTATAAAGATAATGGCTGCGAAACCGTGAAATATCGGCGATTCGACTTCTCAGGCCGCTGCAGCTCCGTCATTCCCACCGCCACCACTCCTTGCAGCGGCGGGAAGGAGCGAAGCGCGGCGGAGGGAAACCTCCTACAGAGCACAGCTTGAGGGCAGCTCACCCAGCCCAGCCCCGCTTGTCGGGGCTTGCACCGGGCCCCCATCGGCAGGGCGGCGCTCCCCGGGTGTGGCCGCGCCCCTCACGCCGGGGGGCCGCTCTCCGCCGGGAGGCGGCGGCAAAGGCAAGACAGGAGGAGGGCAGGAGAGCGGAATAAGAGAGCACGGCAGGAGGAGCCGCGCAGGGCCAGGGAGGAGGTGGCGACGGCGGCTCCGGCATCCCCCCGCCCCTGCACTCACGTTCTCCGGCGGCGGCAGACCCGGAACCTGCCGCCGCCCCGCGTGACCCGCGGCCGCCACTCCGCGGCGAGGGGCGCGGCCCCGGCCCCGCCCGGGGAACGCACCGCGCATGCGCAGAGACCGCCCCGCCGCCAGGGGCGCTGTGCGCGGGCGGGCTGAGGGCGGAGCGCGGGGCGGCGGAGCTGAGGCGGCCGCTCGGGGCGGGCATTGGCCGCTGGCACTGCCCACTATTAAAATACATAATAGCCTTGCCTTTGAGAGCGTTTTACTGCAAATGCAAAACAGTAACTAGTTTTGTAAGTTTAATAGTTCGAGGACTTTTTTTTTTTTTCCGAAGCGTTAAAAGCAATTAGATGAAGACACTGCAGAATCGCAGAATCAACAAGGTTGGCAAAGACCTCTGAGATCATTAAACCCAACCTACGACTAAATACTACGGTGTTAAATAGACCATGGCACTCACTGCCACGTCCAGTCTTTTCTTGAACACCTCCAGGGGCGATGACTCCATCTGGGCAGCCCATTCCACTGTCTAATCACCCTTTCTATGAAGAATTTCATCCTAATGTCTAACCTAAACCTCCCCTGGTGCAGCCAAATACTGCATTAGTTTCACTTTTGTAGAGTACTAGTCACTGCTGTCACTGTATTATTTCCCAGATTTGACACAGATATCCAGACTGTGAGCTTCTTTATTATTATTCAGTAGGGAATACACTGGGCAAATTATAAGTGCCTGAAATAATAGGTTCTCATATAAATGTTGGTGAGCTGATGGTGCAAATATGTGACTAGAAATGAATCATACAAAACCCATAGCCAAAGCTACATGTAAATGGCCTGATTTTGCTGTCATTTATGTGGCACTCAGGTTTCATAGAACATTTTGGCAACTTGTACAAGTATGTCATACAATTTATAAGAAAATTGCATTCTGCCCTTCCAAAAACAGCACACAGCTCAGCAGACTGGCAGGCATGAAAGGGGCTGAATTCCTAGAAACAGGGAGGAGATCAAGTTAAAGGAGCAGGCTTTGCCAAAACAAGCAACTTCAGCATAGTCCTCGCTTCCAAGAATGAGCAGAAGCCAAAAGAGGCGGGCAAGGCTCAGTGTGTGCCATCATTTAGACACATTACCTTAAGCTCCTTACTTTTGGCACATTTAGATCTGTTACTTCAATTAATGCTAATCATAATAATTCATAGAAATCACAGGATGTGGGAGTTAAAAGTGCCTGAACTGATAGATTTTTTTTATCATACACCAAGTTTTCTACAACTGGCACAATTTCCTGTAACAGCATACTTCATTTTCAGGCAACAATAATTGCAGTCCATAATTCTTAAAGATGCCATATTTCTTGCCTCAATACAGGCCCAGATCTTATTACTGGATGTGCAAGTCCTGAGGTTGTGGTTCCTTTCTGGGACCTAGAGGATTGTAGTTCCCTTGGTGGGTTAATCTGAGCAATTGTATATTACTGTTCTCTCTTTTCAGATCCTTAATAATATAGCAGGGATAACAAAAGTCACAGAAACAATGGGAGGCTAAGGAAATGAATAATGTGTTCTAATGCTATAATTAATGGGCCACATATGTAGCTAGGTTTTAAAAAAAAACCACCATTGTTCTTATACTCTTTACCCACATATGGGACTTTATACCCATTAAGATCTTAAAAGTTGGCATTTTTTTCCTTGTTCTACACAAATTTTATTAATAACCCACCAGATCTTCTGGGTTAGTTTATACTTACATAAATAGCTGGTTAGAAGAAAAAAAACACCTTCTGCTCTCTTTCTTTAATCTCACACCACTATTCACCTCATGGATTTCTTTTAATTTTTGGCTGAATGATAATTTTGTCTTACCAATAAAATTGAATGAAATAGGAAACACTATTCACATATTACAACTTTTCTTTTTTTTTACAAATTCTACATTTCATATACTTGTGCCATACAAGCTGTAACTCAGCTTTCCTCAACATGAATAATGTTATTGAGTAAGAATAACTGAATGGCTTACGCATAAAAGGTTGGTTGAATTAATTTAAGACAATATCCCTTTCCATTTAAGCAACTGTTAACAGTATAGGTTCTGTTTCCTGGTTATGTCTGGCCTGATTAGGAAGAGAATTCAACTCTTGGAAGGAAAGTAAAGAAGAAAAAACCAAAAGCATCATTTTCCTAATGCATGTACTCCTGGTACAGGAGTGACGCATACGGTCAGCACTGCTTACGCCTTACTGCTAACTATATAATCCATGTAAATATTTATCATCCAGCTATTATCAGTGTAAACATACAGCTTAGTCATATGTTGACCCCTAATGAAAAAGTGACATTGAGATCTTTGCTTAATAGCACAAAGTTTAAACATGTTTTAGAAGCAGTAGAGCAGATCTCAGAATACTCACTTTTTCGGAGGGTTATATGGAGGCTTTTCAACATGTAACAATTGCAAAGAAACATCCTGCTATGAATGCATGGATGCAAATTAAATCCATATCTGAAGGTTATTTTTCTAATTAATGCTGGGAATCTGATAGCAGCACATTTGAAACACTGTTTATGTTAATCTTTAAGGAACTAGTTAGGACTAGCCTGCAAATGTAAGAAGAATGCTGAAGTGCAGTTATGGTAAAGGAACTGTGGCTTTCCCAGACTGTCAGTACATGACAGTGTTTACAAAAAGCAGAAGAAGAGAAAAGCAGAATTTGATACACCGAATATTATGAGTCTGTCAGAAAATTAACAAAATACAGATGATCAAAGGATCAGTTTAAACATGTTATTAGTTTATATGCACTGCTACTATTCTGGTTTTGAAAACAACATAATGCCTTGGAAACTGTGGAGACAAGCCCTTCTGAGAGACAGATGGAAATAAGATCTGATAGTGAATGTTTTGTATAAATTCAGGGCTTACGCTTCCAGAGTCTTTGATCTGACATTAACTCTGCTTTAACTACCTAGTCCACCTTTACTAACTTCTTCCTTGCTGGCAGGTTCCTTTCTCCAGTTCAGCTGCCAGCATCACTACACAGTCACTTTATAATACAATATGGACAAATGGAGGGAAAAATGGAGATGCTTTCTCTCCAGCTTACAGAGATAGAATATATCCTGGAGATTCTTGATTTGTTCATATAGACTCGCAGAAGACATAGATGAAACAACAGCTGGAAACTAAAGGAGTGTCTTGGTCTTAATGTGGGCTGGAAGAAATGGACCAACATCAGAAAGGTTTCCCAACACTGACAGCCAAAGGCATCTGATCAGATGATCAGTCATCTCCTGCTTATCTGGATACTTCCATGCTGCAGTGAGACACTTCAGTTAAGCCAAAGCATTTTGAAAAAGCTCAAAAGCCTGAGCTGCTGTATGTATCCAGAAGAGAAGGGAGTAGACCAAAAGGTAGTGTTAAGTAAATTAATGTGTGAACTATGCCAAGAAGATGGTACCAGGCAATCCTTCTGTGCAACTGAAGAGCTTTCTAAAAAAGGTGTCAAAAGCAAATAGAATAGGATGTGACATCACTGATGACAACAAACTATAATGTAAAAAGTTATTTGGTATGAAGTAACAAAAGAGTAACCTGCTGTCATCTAAACCCAATTTTAAAAGTTGCATATGCAAACATTTATCTTCCTTTTGCTTGACCTCAGGAATAACAGTCAGGAAGTTGTTACTTGTAATAATACTGTAGGTAGAAAATATTCTGTTCAATACAGCTGTTTGGGTTTTTTTCAGTGGCAGCATAATTTACATCTCATCATTCACAGTTTATAAAAATCATAAAGTTGAAGTATATTCTGCTGCTGGCAGGGAATTTTTCTTAGTGCTCTAGCTGTGAAAATTTTGTGATTATTTCCCATTTGTATAAAGCATTCATGTAATGTTTTCTGTTACGGAAACGTGGATTTTGATCCAATTTTTTATGAAATTTGAACTACTTTATAACAAGGATGTGTCAGTATTCTGGTGACATTTGTGTGCTCCACTGGCCTGCAGGATGCCAGGACAGTGGAAGCAATGGCCTTCCCAAGGGAGATGAAATGTTGATTTGCTGTTCTCCCAGGTTCCCAGCTCTCAAAGTGGGGCTAATCCAAAGGCAATACCAGAGGGCTTTATCTGGCACTCCTTGTAAAGAAGGATTTGTCAAAGATAGTACAGTAATTTCACCAGAAATTACATTTAAACCTCTTCTTGGAAGTCTTTTCTTGCTTTCTATTATCCTCTGGATATATGAGTAGAATTCATGCTCTGCATGTTTTTTAGTCTTTTATGCTAACCTTGGTCCTACATTGTACATGGTCACTGGCCTGACTCCTGTTCCCTGCAGACAGGCTGAGAGGCAGAGGCAGAGGTGAGGAAGCATTTGGGAGAGGGGCTGATAACAGCAGAAGACCACTTCAAAAACTTGGTTCTTTTATTTCTGTTTTCATTCAAAGATGGAAGCTTTATCTCCCTTGGAAGTTTGAATCCTGGAAGGTGTGAGGAGACATAGTAAGCCATAATATTCATAATATCCATAATATTGAAATGGCTATTATTATTTGTTTCGGGTTATTGTTTATTTTATTGGTTTCAACTTCCTAAAGTTGCCTTTAACATATTTTTATTTAACAAAACCAAGCCTAATGAAAGCATCTGTCACAGCTCAGAGTGCATTGGTCTGCCTTAATTAGCCCTTAATAGTGGCTGACCAGCCTCACCTGGGTTCCCCAGCCACACCCCCTCCTTGTGGGCTCAGAGCCCCATTTAAGGTCAGCCTGAGACCCTCAGTCCTCCCCTGGGCAAGGCTGGAGCAGGGTTGGTCTCCAGCTACCCCCAGCCTTGCCCTGGCCCTTGCTTGAGGATTCTGTCTCCAAACAGCTCCATCCAGGGGCAATGCCAGCTTTGATTTCCTGCCCTTGCCTTTGCCCTGCCTTGTCCTTGTGGGCTGCCTTGTGCTTTAGACTA